GAGTTTCGCGCTGCTCATCCTGAGTTCCAGCTCGAGGACGAGCTGTTTCCGGAGGAGGGGAGAGATGTTATGGTTGGGGTCACGTATGAGAGGACCCGTGGGTGAGCTAAACAGGTCCGGCCAAGATTTGGTTTGTTAGCATTGTTAGGAGTCTTAGAGGGAGTTTGTTAGCGACTAGAATCCTTATTTTTAGCGTCAAGTTGTTAGAGTCAATTGTATAAGAATCCAACTCTTGGTTAATGGAAAGGCAGCCTGGGATTGTGACTACAAGTCACCCTTGGGCGCCCGGCATTCCCCTATTCCTCGTCATCTACTGTTCATCGTCATCTACTGTCGCCGCAATCACGGCTCCAATCCGCCGAACCTCCTCACGCTCTCACGTCCCTCGATCCCCTCCGTACTTCCTCCGAAGCCAAGCCCGCCGCCGTAACAACCTGCAGTATTCTAGGCGCAAGCCCATTAGTGGCTAGTATTCTAGGCGCAAGCCCATTAGTGGCTAAGAGAGCCCGTTACATATTTAGTTTTATTTCCCAATTCTATTCATAGAAGTATAAATACTTGTAATCAGGCACAATTGGATTTTAAGCAAGAGTAATCATCTTACTTTGCTTCCTTAGGGAGCCAGGAGTTTGCCCTAGCTGCCGCTGCCTCTTCCTTGCGCGTAAGATCACGGCGCCCCGCCGCTGTTCCTCCTCCTTCAAGCCACGTCCAGCCATCACCCATCCGTACAACCTGCGATCCATCAAAGGGAGAGCACCGGTCGGTATCAACCTCTGCGGCAGTCGATGAGCTTCTCGCCAACCGGGATGAGTTTCTGGAGGAAGTGCGTTCCCGACTTCTTCAGGCGCAGGAGTATGCACGGCGTTCCTATGATGCTCGTCATCGTGCTCTGGAGTTTGCGGTGGGCGATTGGGTGCTCGTACGCCTCCTTCATCGATCCACCCAGGCTCTAGAGCCGGCCAATCGTGGCAAGCTGGGCCCTAAATATGCTGGACCCTTTCAGGTGGTGGAGCGTATTGGTGAAGTGGCATACCGCCTTCAGTTGCCAGCAGGAGCACGGATTCACGATGTGTTTCATGTGGGTGTGTTGAAGCCGTTCCGTGGGCCACCTCCATCAGCAATTCCAGCATTGCCTCCTCTTCGTCATGGCCGTCCGCTTCTTCGTCCTGACCGTGTGCTCCGCTCCAATCTCCGGCGCAGCGAGTGGCATGTGCTTGTTCAGTGGGCAGGATTCCCAGCTTCTGAGGCGACTTGGGAGTCGGTCACCGAGTTTCGCGCTGCTCATCCTGAGTTCCAGCTCGAGGACGAGCTGTTTCCGGAGGAGAGGAGAGATGTTATGGTTGGGGTCACGTATGAGAGGACCCGTGGGTGAGCTAAACAGGTCCGGCCAAGATTTGGTTTGTTAGCATTGTTAAGAGTCTTAGAGGGAGTTTGTTAGCGACTAGAATCCTTATTTTTAGCGTCAAGTTGTTAGAGTCAGTTGTATAAGAATCCAACTCTTGGTTAATGAAAAGGCAGCCTGGGATTGTGACTACAAGTCACCCTTGGGCGCCCGGCGTTCCCCTATTCCTCGTCATCTACTGTTCATCATCATCTACTGTCGCCACAATCACGGCTCCAGTCCGCCGAACCTCCTCACGCTCTCACGTCCCTCGATCCCCTCCGTACTTCCTCCGAAGCCAAGCCCGCCACCGTAACATTGACTCAAAGGTGCTGTATACAAACTAATGGTCTGATTAAGGCTACACAGCGCTTCCAGTAATTTTCTCATTTTTTGTTAAATATTTCAAACCAGATGTTCTTATAGGTGAAAGGACGTAAAATGAGCTGACACTATAAAAAAGACAGTTAAGAACGTCAGAAAATTGCAACCTGGACTGATTACATGTTGCATCACTAAATAAAAGTGCTGGGTCACAGTCTCACAGAGGCAAGAATCATGTCACATGATTAAACGAAGGCTGAAGCAAAAAGATCAATGCTATATCAAAATCTGTGCAGACAGTAAGCTTCAACTGCTAATCCCTTGACAGACATTGTGCGAAGAAGAGTTACTTTCCTAGCATTAGTGTCTTAGTGACTGGCTAGATAGCTTCTTGTAATCTTTTTCTCTCTCTGTTTTTTTTTCTTTTGGACTGGCTGTTTTTTCTTTTTCTTTTTTATCTATTTATATATCCAGTAGGGGCTCCCTGTTTCCTCGAAAAAGAAAAAACTTTGACAGAAGGTAGCTGAACAAAAATACAGGAGATCAACCGAAATTTCAATAATTGATGTCACACGTCCAGCAATGACATATTATGGCTAGTTACAACTGCAAGCTACTCACAAGGTCCCTCCATGGTTAGTTCCACCGCCAGAGTTACAAGGTTTATTATCCAGGTGTGCACAAGGTACCTTTTCCACCCCATAGTTCTTTCAAAGAATATTATAGGGACCTTCTGCTTAGGTCAATTATATTTGGAAAGAAAAATATAATTTAGAATCATGTGAGTTGAAAACAAAGCTTCTGCCAATAAAAATAGAAGAGCTCCAACAAGTAAGTTAAATGTCTTCATATCCCAAGTCCCAACACCTATGTAACGCTCATGCTATCATGCAATACATAGCAATATTACACAAAAGAATCTTTACCAGAGACTCCTATTTCTCCTCTAGCCTGAGAAAGATGGGAAAGAAAGTATGAAACTTCAGATATTCACTGATGTACACTGATGTATGTGGCATTGCACTCAAAAGAATAAAGTTCTGCACATAACTGGATTCTGCCCAGATAACTGATACAGCGTGGACGGCGGGGAGAGCTTAGAGGAGATCCGAGGAGCAGCTGTGATTGAGAATTAGAATGCAAAGGATATCAAGGCAAGGGCGGTGGGGGATTGTCGGCGGTGGCTACGGCTGAAGCGCTCGCAGCCACCATCGAAGGTAAACCCCAACCCGCCTAGAGGAGGTTTATTTCCTTCTTCGATGATTACAAATCAATCTAAGGTGCCCTTTATATATCAAGGTGCACTTGCCTAACAAATAGGTATTAAATCTCCTAAAAATCCTCCCCAAAGTTGCCTTTCCTAACAAACCTGGCCTTAGCCACGGTTAGGCCCATGTGGACGCCTAGGCCGGCGCCTATACTGGCGACCAACGAAGGAGTCCACAACAATAACACATACTAGCAGAGGGATAACCAAATGAAGTTATTAGACTTAGAACTAAATGATCTCATTAGACGACCAAATCAGTAAAGAACACATAGATATACAGGCCAATAGCAAATTACTAAAAACTAAAAAGCATTGACAACACAAGGAAGATTCTACAGGTTACAAAAGAGAGATTGTGATCACAACACCCAAGAGAATTTGAAGAAGAAAAAGAAAGAAAGAAAAGAAAATCACAAATGAAAATAATCAGAACACAGGGTTGCATACCAGATATAGGAAACAAAGCAGTATACTATTCTGCAAAAACAAAATATGCAGAGCTTTATAAAGCTAAATTGTGTGAGTCATTAAAACTTATAAAATGGAATAAGAAAAACACCATAGTATCATAACACAAAGCAGTAATATTGATACTTCATATTCCTTCTGCCAAATCTTTCTCCTCCCCATCTGGTCATCCTAAATTCCTAATCCATAGAATGATGTCTAAATCCAACTGAGAGTACCACAAATTGACGCTATACAAACAAAATGGTCAAAAACCTCAATGAATGCATAATTCTGTAGAGTCTAGTCAATTATGCTAAGCTCAGGTTTCTATTTGTTTACAAAAACAGGACCAAGGCGGTGGATAACTTGTGCCATGCACCAATGTGTCAAACGTGTCCCTTGGCAGAACTTTCTTACTTTGCTAAACAGTAAATACAGGGCATAACATGAGTTCCCATTCTCTGAATCAATCAACACCTTGACACAATAGTTGCTTTAGGCCTTATATGTGGAGTAGCGCCTGCGTTTGCTTGATGTACAATCAGTAAAAGGAAAAACATGGAATGTAAACCAGTTCTTTTAATTCTTCTTTTTCATCAAATAGGAGTGCTCTGCTGCTACCTCTGTGTCACCAATTAACCACATGCATGTGTCCAACAAATTCTTCAATAAATTTTTAGTACATTAAGGAGAATAGAAAATATGATTAAGATCTGGAGTATGGGCCTTTATAAAAAACTTTCAAATGAACGCACAGTTAGTTTATTCAGCATTTTGGATATAGAGATAGCATTTAAGAAAATAGGCAAGAGATTATCTGAATTGCCCTTTTGTTTGAACAGAACCTTTACCGAACTTTCAGTAACACTTTTTTTCTTGAACACGCAAACTTTCAGTAACACACTACATAGCAAATGGAGTAATTCTTTTTGCCAGACCATGTATTGATTGTACTGTTTATACCCTGATTGGAATAGAGACAATAATAACCTGGTTACAAGCACAAAAGTGCTAGATGATGTCTCAGTATTGCACATACATCAATTTCAATTATGTTCTGACAAATGTGGTTAGTTATGAAATTATCAGTATGATCAGTAGTTAGTGAGGAGCTGAAGATAATCAACAAACAGGAAACTGCACAGATCCTTATTGTGTCAATCTCAGATTCATTTTCCTGATTGATAATTGTGCCAAATAAAAGCAACATTAAAATTTCACAAACATGGATAAGTACCCCTCCTAAATGATTCCACCATAAAACACTGCCTAATTTTTCACAGATCCAATTCCCTGAAAATAGTTGGGTCCCAACATGGATCCCCTGGTTCTACAGAACACTGAAGAAAAAAAATCCATAATCCACATGATGAACTCAACAAAGGGAACATTTTATTTTACTTTACCTTTTCCGTAATGTCCTCTGACAAACCATATATGCGTGTATAATCTATGTATGACATGTAAGTAGTCTATCTACTACACGAAGAGCAAAACACAGCACATGATGCATATAACAACAACAATACTGACACAATATACAGTAATAATACAGTATCTAGCCAACAAGCCACGCTATTCAGCAACGAGCTGGTGCATACCGACATACACATCCGCGGATGCGCCGGTGGCAACAAGGCAGGTGGCGACCCCGACCACCACCGCGGCGAAGACGGCGGCGACGGCCCTGACCCCCTTCCACTGTGCGGGCATGACAGCGGCGGCGCCGGGCGGCTGCCGGAGCATGAAGAAGGACCCGAAGAGGAGGACGGATGCGCAGAAGAACGCGGCGAAGCAGACGAGGGTGGCCACGACGGCGGGCCACGGCACGCGGAGGTCGGCGGCCGCCGCCGCGAACGGCTCCACGAACCACGACGCGGGGTGGGGAGAGCGTACAGTGGTGACGGCGACGGCGGCGGCTGGCTCCTGTGGTGCAGCGATTGGGTGCGGCGGGGTGGTGGTGGTGGTGGAGGGTGGCGGCTGTGGTGCCGCGATTGGACCAGGAGGGATGGCGGGGCAGGTCGGATGGGCTTCCATGGACTCGTTCTCCGATGCCGCTGGGTGAATCGGGGAGCGCCGATGAGAATGAGATTCAGCGACCAACTTTGGAAGTCTGGAGCTCGGGGATTGCTGGAGTTTTGGTCTCACGTAGATTGGCAAACCAAGCATGGAAATGCGGAACGCGCGTGAGAGGCTGTGTAGACATTTTTCCCGTTCCAAAATACTAATAGCACACCTAGATTTGTATAAAAATATTATTATCATTTTTATCTTCTAATATATTTATTATAAAAACATATTTCATTATTAATGTAATAACATTTATTATGTATCATAATTATTAGTATATTTTTTGGATATATTTGATCAAACTTAATAAATTAAGGGTACAGTTATTTTGGATGAAGGAAAGTTAGAGTAAAAATATGGATTATAGATTTTATTTTTCTTATTAGTAAAAGCTAATTAAAATGTCATATATTTTTTTAAAGGTTATATATTTAGGAATGGAGGGAGTAAAATTAACTAGTTAGAAGCTGCGAAAGCTGAATTTTTGTGGGATTTTCAACATTTAAACTGGAGATTGTTAAAAGCTACTCATACAATTTGGTATATTTAGATCAATCTAGAGCTTGTAATCCTAGCTTTTTCCTTGTACTTATCGATTGTATGAGAAACGATGGATGCATCGTTCGGTTCAGGATGTCTGTTAGTGGCCCCATTCGCTTCGCTGAAAAACTAGTCGAAACATTGTTTCGGCTGGTTTGTTGTGAGAGAAAAATACTATTCCGGCTGAAAAAAAAAATAAGCTAAAAAATACGGATTATAAAACAAGCTAACGTGGCTTCATCTTCGTTGGTTTTTTTTTTCTTCTCTCGATTGTTTTAAAAGAATTTTGATTCTGAGTCGAAGGCTCAAAGCAGCTCACAAACTGCTTGTTTCACATGCAGACCTGCTATCTATATACTCAGACCACAGTATGTACCTGAAACAGTGATGCCAAAGTGTTCTTACTGCTCCATACAAAGTTCTTATAGCCTGTGCATGAACCAGTCATTTGCTTGCTGAATTCGACCACAGAATCTACATAACTGCTAAAAGCAATACATCAGCTATCTCAATTTATCATCGACACACAATACGCAGTAGAAGCACCTTCCACGGAACACTAATGCTGATACCGTAGCACAGAACATGGCGCTGGTATGCTCCCTGATGCTCAACCAGGGGCAAGAGTACCATCCAGTCCATCCTGACTGAAGGCCATCGATGGCACTAGCTGAACAAATATACGGGAGGCCCCCATTCAGCAACTGAGTGGCATGCCCCACGTAAGGGTTTGTTTGGATGCACTCGTACACGCCTCAATCTGCATATGGTGGAGTGGATAAAGGTATAGGTTAGTTTAATTTCCACCTCAATCCACCCTGACATATGTGGATTGAGGTGGAGATGAGTGCACCCAAACGAACCTCAAGAATGCAAGCTACTCGCAAAGTGCCATCATGCGACAGGACAGTTCCTCCGCCAAAATCTAAGGTTTGTATCTACATGTGCACAGGGATGCTGGGTCACAGGTACGAAAAACTAATCACCTGGCAAGAATGCTGGATGACACTTTGCAGACAAGCTTCAGCTGGAAACCTGATGACAGATGAATTTTCAGGGGCTCGTTGAACATAAAGTACGTAACTGAAATATGAACCATAGAATATCATGCATTCAGAAGTGAAACAATAACATGCCCCAGACAAGGATGCAAGCTACACAAAGTGCCATCATGTGTGTTTTTTCTAGTTCCAAGGCCAAAAAAAACCCAGTCCTCTAGTACTGCATTGCAAAAGACCAACTTTAGTAAGCGTTTTACATAGTTTTTGCTCAGCATTCTCTCACACGAGGATGAGGGCAAGAGCAAAACACTGCTCAGCACACACATCAGTCGCCATTGACTAGACTCGGCAGACTTAAACTGACTTCCAGCAACAACATACAGAAGAAAGCTTGATCCTGGGGTGTCATCACCATCTGTTCGCTGTTTCCCTCCAAGGCTTGTCGAGGGCAAACCATCAGGAGGCACCAGTTACGATAACTTTTCTGGTCTTGTTGCCAGCCCCCGAACCTTCTCCCAGCAGCTCTTGAACTTCTCCAGATGTCACAAACTGGCAACTGGGCACAGTTTCAGGTTTACTGTCCAGGAGTGCGCAGAGTACTTCTTTGCAAGAAAATAATCTGCTGTTGTTTTAAAATGCTCTTTCAGGAAACCTATATCATGCAACAGTAGCGACCATACAAAATAGTAATCAGAACTGTTTTCCTCAAACCTGTAGCTCATTTGCAAGTTTTTTTTTTTGGCTCAAAGACATTTTATACAAGCAAATGGTCTGGTCAAAAGGCTGCAGAAAGCTTCTTGTCTTTTGTTCCTTTTTTTGTCCAATATCTGGAGATCTGGAAAATGCTATAGGTAAAATGATGTTAATTGAACTGACATTATGAGAAGTTGATAAAAATAGCAAACTAGACTAGGGACTTGTTCCATCAGTAAATAAGAATGCTGGTCACAGGGCAAGCATAGGTCACCTGACAAAATGAAGACCGTGCCGAAAGGATCTATGTTCCATTAATAGATTTGTCGACAGTAAGCTACACCTGCAACTGACAGAAGGAAATATCTATGTTTTACAACACTTAAAGCAAAAGGTTGAGCACCGGGTTTGTGGATTAACGGACAAGATACGAACCAACTTGGAATTAAACGGCCCACATCACTTCATCCTAGATCCTACAGTTAGTGGGTTAGCAGGGAATGTGGATCAATCCGCCGCTCAAGCCTTGGCTCTGGATTAGTATTATAGACCGAGACCACTCCCCCCTTTGGTACCTGCCTAAGAGATTCTTTCAGTGAATAATTTACCATCTATTGCTTGCTGGATGGAATACAGGGAAAATTAGTTTGCATTATACTTTATTCACCTATAGCAACAATTGGTTTAAAAAGATCATGGTATCATTACTTCAGAACCTGAAAGAGGAGAAGGGTCACCTCATAGTAAAGAGACCCTCCAAAGATGAAGGCATATGAAATCATGGTATCAAAGTTGTCAAAGGTAGCTGGAGCCAGCGCAAGGGTAATACCATAAATGACAACATAAGCAGTATCATAATAAACATAGATGAAGTTGGAAAGTGCGTAGTATCATAATAAATGGCAGTGTAGTATATCTTGTTCAGTTAAGTTAGGCATTCCTGACTTTCAAACCCAACAACTTTGAATAAACCTTCCAAAAAATCCCCATGCTAAAAACCATCAGGAGTCAGAGTTAGTATTTGCGTTTCAGTATTCAGGAAGGGTAGTTTGAGATAGCTTGCAACTTGCATTATATGCTTGGTGCTACGCTTGCAGGAACCTAATGTTTTCTAAACTGTCTCTGACCACAGGAACTACAAAGCTGAAGAACCTGAGCAGTAACATCTTTTCTGTAAGAATTAAGCTAACTAAGGATGACCTGATAGAGATTTCAGATGCAGTACCTACATGCGAAGCAGCAGCTCCAAGTGTTTACCCAGCCTTGGAGCGCTATTCTTGGATACATGCAAACACACCGTTTCTGAAGTAGTCATCTATCATATTTGATTGTTGTATCACTGGACTTTTTTGGAGGAAATCACGGAGAACAATTCCCCCACATATTTGTATTATCTTTGTTGTATTGGAACTCAAACATGCTTTGAGTTTTTCATTTCATAGAAATAAATGTTACTATTTTAGCAGACAGTAGTGGAAGTCTTTTATTTTTAATGAAAACCACGGCAGGTGATTACCAGCCTGAACTTTTATAAATATGTCATGTTCTGGGACATACAGGGTATTTTGAGGGTGAGGCAATGAGTACATAAAAGTAAGTTAAGTTAAATCATCAAATTTCTGAGCCCAAGAAAGGATAGCAGCAGAAGATTCAGGGTCTTCCAACATAGAAGTGGAATTGAACATGGATTAATGCAGCAATATATATCTCCGCATTTTGTATGGGAGTCTGGGAGTCCACTACGTATTTCTTTTGTTTCTACCAAAAAGGTGCATGTATGAATGATTCAATGTATTCTGTTAGAAATTAGGCAACCCCGTTTCCATTTAGTATGGAAAAAAATATCTTCAGAACAAGCTGGAAATGAGCTCAATGAGAAATACTACAAACAGTCTCTGAACCTTGGAGCATTAACAAATCAGCGACAATTCTCTTTTAATTATAAAAAAAACAAATCAGCGACAAACCAAAAGAGAAACGTTGCTACTACAGTCTACAGTACCACATCAGAACTGATACATAAGCCCAAAAATAGCTTTAGCTATCTACATCATCAACAATCTTCAGGCCCCACTATCATTTTGCAGCCACTTGATCACCAACGTTACTTCCACATGATGCTGCAGCTAAATCAATGTTGTATGCAAATGATCTTGACTAAGAAATCCTTAACCCAAGGCTAGGGCTAAGATGACTGCCCATTTTGCCCTTGGATTTCTGTTTTCTGCTCCGAGTTCGAAGGGGTAGCAACTATAGGCAGGTAACTTATGAAGAATAGCAGGGAACTTGATTACCTGCTTATTATATGCATGAAAACACATCCTCAAGCCACTTTTGACAGTGATTCGGTGGACCCAAATAAACTTGGAAAGCTGCTTCCCTTGGTCTCACACAGTCACACTTCTAAATCTAGCCAGCAGACTATAGTCCCTAATCCACTTTGCAAGTCAGTTTTCAGTAATCAGCAACTACAGTTGAGTTGGTTCTCATCTGCTAAATACCATGCTCTCATCTGGTATTCCAGACAACCATTTCATCGAACACCATGGGGGTGTCTCTCGAGTGGCTGCTACACCGTGGCTTCCGTCAGTGCCGTGCGGCACTGCAACCTCAGCCACCCCGCTCTTCTCCTCGGGCCGTAGCTAGGTAAAAGGTGTCGGGGCAACAGGTAGGGATGCGTACCTGCGGCCTTGTGGCTCACGACTGCTCGTGCTCTTGCTCAGGAGTCAGGTCTGATAAACTTTTCTTCATCCACTGCTGCTGCTGCTGCTGCTACTGTTGTTGATGCTCCTTACATCGCTCATAAAGTACCAGCAGATTGTGCTATGCGGATGATGACCAGGTAAAAGGCCAGCCTGAGGAGCCCTGCACGGCGTGTTCCTCCCAGATTCCAGGTCAAAGACCATGTCCTGATCTCCAGTGGCGGAGCTACAGGGTACGCCGGGTATGCACCGGCATACCCTGCAATTCCGGTAACAAAGCAAGTATATATACGTATATATACACATATATACTCATCTGATGTAGTATACGAGAGCCGAGCCTGACTGCCTGAGCATGTGCTAGCGTGAGGCCCGCGAGCGAGCGTGAGGCCCAAGCGGGCGGCCAGCGACAGAGACGGATCAAGGGACAATGCCGACGCCAATACGGAATTACGGATCGAGGCAGCGTCGGTTGGACTTCGAGTGTTCGCCCTGTCCTACACCGACGCCAATACAGATCGTTCACGCCGTCCGCTGTCGCCCTACCCTACGACGGCACCGGCCACTCGTTCTTGTGACCTCGTGTCCCGTTCGGCCTTCGCCCTGTCCTATGACGACACCGGCCAGCGGCATCTAGTGAATTTGTGATCAGTATTGTTCAGGTGAGATTCAATCTTTGTTGTTCGACTTTTTTAAAAATTCATGTGTACTTTTAATTGCTAATTGCTTAGCGCTAAAATTATAGAATCATCTATCACGTGGTGAGGTGGAGGATTTTTCCTAACATCAAAGTCGGTCTAGATTGATCTTTTGTTCAGTACTCGTATCATGTGAGTGATCCATAATCACATATGAGAGTTCAATCGTGCAAGCATAATTTATTTAATTATTTGACACTATGTTCTTTGTAATATTTATGCAGTTACGAAGAGAAACGGAGATATTGCATCTTTTTTTCAGAAGCATGCAGCAAAGAAGAAGGCAGCGGCAGCTACTGCTACTTCTAATCCTGATCCGGTTGAACCTGTGGTGGAAGAGTAGACTCATGAGAGAGTAGTTGAGGAAATTGTAAATTCTATGCCACCGCCACCGCCACTGCCACAACCGTCTTCATTGCCACTAGTTTATGACATCAATCGTCTTCCACATGATCTAGATGAAAGATGTCCTATTCTAAACTATCCTATTAATGATCAAAATACAATTCGAAGAGCATATATTATTAAAGGTCCGTTCAAACCTTTTGCACAAGATTTTTTAAAAAGAAAGATTTCAGATAGGGATCTGGGATTCAACTATTGTTGGATGTACAATAATGATTGGCTTGAGTATAGTATTAAGAAGGATGTTGTGTTTTGCTTCATATGCTATTTGTTCAAGAGGGGTACTGGTCAGACTGACACATTTACTGTTGATGGCCGAAAGAATTAGAAAATAGGAGAGAAAGCACTTTGCAAACATATGGGTTCTAAGGCACATATTGCAGCTTAAGAGAGATACATTGACTTTACAAATCTCAAGATAGCAATTGATTATAATATTGACAAGTGGAGTGATGAGGATCTTCGTCTTTATAAGAAAATGTTGACTTATTCACTTAGGTGTATCAAGTTTCTTTTGCATCAAGGGTTGGCGTTTCGTGGACATGATGAAAGTGAAGAATCTAGCAACAGAGGAAACTTCATTGAACTTTTGAAATTTCTTGCCGGAAATAGTGAAGAAGTGAAGAAGTATGTTTTGGACAATGCTCCAGGTAACTGTATACATTTTGTGACCGGAGCGTTTGAGAACTTTGAGTTTGTTTTCTTTGCACACTTAATGTATATTATTTTTGGATATACAAATGAGTTATCTGAGTATTTGCAAAGAAGGGATCAAAATATTCTTAATGCAATATCACTTGTTAATGTGGCAAAGAAAAGAATGCAAGAATTGAGGTCTGATGGTTGGAATAATTTTCTTGAGAAGGTCACTTTATTTTATGATAAACATGGTGTTGAAGTTCCTGCTATGGATGGTGATTATGTTCCTTATGAAAAATCAGCAAGGAAAGCTCGTGCCCGAAAGCAAACCAATGATGACTACTTTAGAAGAGAAGTATATATTGGTGTCATTGATCAAATAAGTCAAGAACTTCATAATCGGTTTGACGAGATTAATATGGAGTTGTTGTCTTGTATGTCGGCCTTCAGTCCTTCCAAATCATTCGCTTCTTTTGATACACAGAAGCTACGTAGACTAGCTGAGTTCTACCTAAAGGAGTTCTCAAATAATAATTTGCTCAAACTTGAATTGCAGCTAGATAATTATATTGATGACATGAGACAGGATGATAGATTCAAAGGTCTAGACAATATTGTTGATCTCTCAGTTAAGCTTATTGAAACAAAGAGCAACAAAGTGTATGATATGGTTTATGAGCTCCTCAAATTGGTATTGCTTCTACCTGTGGCAACGACAAGTGTTGAAAGGATATTTTCTGCAATAGTTTTTGTGAAAACAAAGTTAGGAAATAAGATGGGAGATAGTCTTCTGGATGACTGTCTAGTCACTTTCATTGAGTGGGATATTTTCTTTGAAGTTGATGAAGATAATATAATCAATATATTTATGTCCCTTCAAAAGCGTCGAATAAAATAGTCACAAAAATAGCATTGGAAGTCTCTGGTTCTCTTTTATGCCTTATTTCAATTATCGGTGTGGCTTTTGAACTATTTATACTATACTTAATGGATCGTTTGAACTTAATCTATGAATTTAAGCCTTATTGTGTTATTGAGTGCATATATACCTAATCATGTTGTTAATTTTATAGTTATTACCGAATTGCTGAAATGGATTTACCGAATTGTATATGAAATTTTTTGGATGTTATACCTTAGAGAAAATCTTAGATTCGTGACTGCTGATCTCTACCGCGCCCGCCAATCCATTATACACAGTTGCCCGTCAGTCCTGGCACACCCTCTGCATACATTGACACTGCATTGTTGCTTCCCTCAAAAAATGAGTAACCTCCTAGGTCCTTCACCACATCCCAGCAGCAACACTGACATTGAGGATAGTACCTCAGCACCAATATCTCATTTTCCGCGACACGGTGCTGACCCCCTGCAGGCAGCTTCAGAGTAACGGTGCAGCTTGTGTTCCTCCAAACTTGGTACAGATTGCCCTCACAGAACACCAAGTTCTTCGCACTAGTAAACGCCGAGACGGTGTCATAAGGTGGAGCAAAGACAGTGGCAGGGTCGAACAGTGGCAACAGGGGCTCAACAGTGGCCGGCGCATCTAGGTGTGGTCCTTGTGACGATTCAGGTGGAACCACCTTGTACCGGATGAGCGTTATCAATAGCTCCTGATCACTTGTTCGGACTACCGTTAGAAAATCGTTCTGTTGTTCCAGACGCCGTGAGCGTAGAATAGTCACTCGTCCAACAGGTGGCGACGGCCGGAGAAAAGAGAACTTTGGCAATGACAATGAGAGCCCTGCCTCATCGGCGTTGGCAGGCTTCCGGCGACGGCGCTCAGGGAGACAGAGCACATGAACGTCCCCGCACTTGGTGAGGCAGTAGACCTTACCTTTGTCGGTGTATACCACGTCAGTGAGCTGGTCCTTCTCGCTGGTGAGGCGGACGGGGTCCATGACGGCCCACCTCTTGGCACCGGCGGTGACGTACGCGATCCTGTCTAAATCGCAGATTGCGGCGGCGGCGAAGTCATCCTTGGCGGGGCTCGGGGTGAAGACGACCTTAGAAACCCAGACTCGGCGGACGCCGTCCTCGTGCCCGTAGTAGATCAGCGGCGGGAGGAGGATCTCCACGGCGACGACGGGGTTGAGGAGCACGAAGACGGTCTGGTCGATGGAGAGGGCTGACGGAGAGCGCGAGCCAGCCGTTGCTGGATCCGACGCAGCGGCTCCCCGACACGATGGCGGTGAGCTCAAAGGACCTCCGCGTGGGGAGGGAGGCGGCGTAGGCGTCGTCGTCGGTGAACACGAGGAGCGCAGGGCACGGCGGCACGAGCGCGCAGCGCCACATCGTGCAGGCGCCCCGCGCGCTGGTATACCACTTGAGGTCGAGCCGGTCTCCGATGTGGCGGAGGAGATCTGGTGGCAGGTCAGCCCAGCGCGCCCTGGAGAGTTGGGGGATATTTAATTTTCTACGTCACAGCGGATGGCGCCTCGCTTTAGATTTGGCGTTACGTTTTTAGCAGCAGTGAGAAAAACACTCATTTACTATTTTTGCTTATGTGGCACACCAGCTTCACTGTTCAGATCGAATCCGAGTCAATAGACTCAGGTAAAAAGACATTTTCTGCCCCCGGCGTCTTTATCCTCCCTGCGCGGCCCGGCCCACTCCACTCTCCCTCCCTCTATCTTTCTCTGCTCCGTGCAACGTCCGCTCATCACCGCCGCCGTGTAAATTAATATGCTGTTTAACTATATTGACAGGGCAGCATTATTTCACTAGTCAAATAAAGCTAAAGATTACTGTGCAGCATTATTTCACTAGTCAAATAAAGCTCAAGATTATAGGACAGCATCATTGCAACGAGCCTATCGGCCTGTTCGCTGGTTGGTTTCTGGGCTGATAAATCCGACTGATGCTGGTTTGTTGTGAGAGGAAAACACTGTTGGCTGACTGATAAGCCCTAACTGAAATCAACAAGCGAACAGGCTGTATGTGTTTCACATGGTGCAAAATTGAGCATTATCTACAGCAACCGCCAAATAAATTACGGAAATGAAGAAAACATGCATGAGGTCCAAAACAACATGATATAGTCAACATAGCACAAATCCACATAGCATGCATTCAACAATCACTAATAGAAAATTAAGCATAAGTAAATGGGACCTTCAGCGCACTATTCAACACAACAGTGACAACACAGGGGTCCATCGATACAAGTTGATACTGATAGTTAATATCATCGAATTTTGTACTGTTGCTAAGACAAAGATGGAACTAAGAACAATATGCAGCCTGTTCGCTTGGTCATATCTGGCTTATAAGTCATCGCTTATCAGCCAACGAACAGTATTTTTCTCTCACATCAAACCAGCCAACGGTACTTTCAGCCATGACTTATAAGCCAGACCAGCCCAAACGAACAGGGCGATGAAGGATTAAAGTCGGTTCGGCTGGTATTAAAGCCGGCTGAAGTTGTTTTGTTATGAGAGAAAAATACTGTAGATTCTTACTGATAAGGCGGTTGATAAGTTCAAGCGAACAGGCCCGTGTCCATAAAAGATCTCTGGACTCCATCTGCAATCCTCGACAGCATATTAATTTTATTCAGGTTTCGCCTGCAAATTTTGATCGCATTGTTGTCAATTTAGCTGTGTTTGCTATTAAGTACAGAAAATACAAGTAGAATCATTTTACATCAAGAGAACGTGAGCCAGATGGGCTCCTGCTTGGACTCTGCTTCCTGGGGCTTGCTGCTTCACCATTTGCGGGCTACATAGACATTTTAGCAGATATAAAATTAAGCAACAAAAATAACAAAAATATTATCAAAATGATGAAGGGAACTTACAGAAGCATTTGGAGATTTGGATCTTGCTGGTGGTCTGCAAAACGTTTCAGAAACAACTGATTCAATATCCAAAATGCAGCTTTAACAACTTGGTTCCAAAAGCTCATGAAAATTGAAGCGTTCAGTTCCATGCAAGTGTAACATTGTTGTATAATAATGTCAAAAGTGCATATACGAACTACAGCAACCATCTGAAGTGTGCCCGAGGTAGGAAGAAAACTCATTCCCCAAGCATTGAACTCCAAGTACATTCCTAGTCACTGTACCACAATAATCCAGATCACCAATCCTTAACGCTTCTATGTCCAGTATTCCAAACAATGCGCTTATGCCCAAGCTCCGATGTCAATCAGTTACAGGACATTAGGTAAAATAATGGGACGATTTTAGCTTTCCATACAAGCTCTCAATTAATAACCATACCTTATAAAACCAACTGAACTATTACAACCTGTGCCCTCTGCATTCTCAGATACACTAGAACCACTGCCTCCTATATTTTCAGGAATTCCACTGCCTTTATCAGTAGTGACACTAGATGCACCTCTACGCGTAGAACTATCATTATTAGAGTATGCATGTTTACTGACAACGTCAACTACAAGAAAAGCAACCATTTGTCCCATCTGTCCTTTACCATTTGCTGAAAATGCTCATCCCTTCTCACTTTTTATTCAAAATCACGGTCAGTGTCAACTACCCAGGCTGATAGTGTTTGTGATGGCCCCCAGATGATCTTTGTGGCCATCTCATCATGAAATTTCTCCAGAGTATACTGCCCAGTTTTATCCAACCACAACTCATGCTCTTGCTCGACCATTTCTACTAGCCCATACTCCCCATCAGCGACATATTTACCAACCTTAACAACTAATCTAAACGCATTGCCAGGATCAATCCTGACAGAATGAATCAACAACAAAACAATCAACGAGTTAGAACAATATCCTACACGACACGGTTCTAAACAAGTCTACCATTTCCAGTGCAGTCAAAGATTGAACTTACCAAATGGGGCACCCACTAGAATCCATTGGAAGGAGTAGTACTACATAAGCTGCCTACGAAGCACAGATGGAGAAAAACCGAATCAGATCGACGAACCCTAACCCTAATCCCAAAAACACAGTGCAATGCAGACCGTAGATAGGGCTCGAAGCAGGCACATACCTTTACTCCATCGCAAAAGTGCTCGGGGGCGACTGGGACATACTCGAGGTGGGGGGCGGGCGGCGATTTACACGGCGGCGGTGGCGGCGGTGTGTGGAGGCGTTACGGAGAGAGAGAAAGACGGGGAGGAGGAGAGTGGAGTGGGCGGGCAGCGCTTGGGGGAGGATAAAGACGCCGAGGGCGGAGAGGTCTTTTACCTAAGCCTCTCGACTCGGATCTCGATTTGGACAACAGAGTGGCGTGTACATGAGCAAAAGTGGTAAATGTGTATCGTTTTTCTCTCTCTACTGCTAAAAGCGTAGCGCGCAAACCTAAAGCTGCTATTTGAGGAGGCGCCATCCGTTATGATGGTAAAAAGTTAAATATCCCGAGAGTTGGCGACTGGCGGATTCACGATTTGGGAGCTGGGTGGGGAAAGCTTCGGAGAGAGAGAGAGAGAAGTACGGGTGAGGACTGGGAAGAGAGGAAGATGCTTTGTTCGTTGGATTGGACGTGGAGCAGAATCGGGAGAAGCTAAGGCCCTGTTCACGTGTCTTATGAGCCGTACTTTTTTAGTGAATGAATAGTATTTTTCTCACAACAAATCAGCTAATGATATTTTTCAGCATGGCTTCTCAGAGGGAAAAAAAAAAGATCGCGAGGAGCCCCTTCCGATGGAATTCGCTCCATGCGAACTGAGCCATCAAATCCGAGATCGGATACGGCACGTATTCTCCCAGGAAATCATTTCCGTAGCGTGACAAGAGGGGGCTTGTGTAGACGATTCCATCGATCATTGCACAAAAAAACTAACAATACCAACTTCCATCTCATACAGCGTCACAAATTCTTTTATACAAGAAGGAAAGCATACTTTAGTAAACTGCTTGTATAGTGTAAAAAATTATCTCTATTCAAGTAAAGTTGTCATTGTCAGAGACATCGCTAGACGTTCCTACACTACAATGGTGGCTCTTTGGGCACGTTTAGATGGATGGATGTACACCATAGCAACCCGGCCGGCCAAATTTTGGTTGTTGACCATGAATAGTTGCGTTTGGATCGGAGGCAGAATTTGTTTAGCAATGTTTTTGTAATAAACCGGTTTAGTTATGATCTTCTACAGTGCATTGCAAGAACAGGCGACTTTTTTGAATTTTTGAACAAATGGTACCACACAAGAACTGGTCGATCAACACATAGATATGTGAGCTGATTTAGCGCGCGAGTACACATCCCGCGACGGCATAAAAACGATCCTCCACTTTTACCTTTTGTTTGGTGTGTACTGTATGTGCGTGTCTGGTCGGCTCGGAGTCGGAGTTGGACGGACTGAAGAAATGACACGCGCGGTTTGGTCGCTAGCTCGCTATCCTATTCCTATCCTTAGCAATTCAGGCCTTGTCTAGGTCCAGGCTGTAAAGTTTTGGGGTGTCACATTAAATGTTATATGAGGTGTCGCATGGGGTGTTAGGATACTAATAAAAAAACAAATTACAGAATCTGTCAGTAAATCATGAGACGAATTTAATAAGTCTAATTAATCCGTCACTAGCACATGTGTTATTGTAGCATTTTATTGTCAAATCATGGACAAATTAGGCTTAAAAGATTAGTCTCGCAAATTAGTCGCAAACTGTGCAATTAGTTATTTTTTTAGTCTATATTTAATACATGTGTCCAAACATTTGATGTGACAGGATGTAAAATTTTGGTGTGGAAACTAAGGCCTTGTTTAGATCAGCGTGTAAAGTTTTGAGATGTCACATCAAATGTTACATGAGGATGTCGTATGGGATGTTCGAATACTAATAAAAAAACAAATTACAGGATCCGCCAGTAAACCACGAAACGAATTTTTATTAAGCCTAATTAAACCGTCATTAACACATGTATTACTGTAGCACTTTATTGTCAAATTATATCCTTATTAGACTTAAAGTATTCGTCTCGTAAATTAGTCGTAAACTGTGTAATTAATTATTTTTTAAAATCTATATTTAATACTCTATGTATCAAATATTCAATGTGACATGATATAAAGTTTTAGGGGGAGAACTAATCAAGGACTACACAAGGGCTCAAACCTTCGATTTGACCATAAATTGCTACTGTCTACGTTACACGGCATCGCATCTTTTGGCACGTACGAGCCCACAGACTGCAATGGTCTGCGCTCGCTTTCTCACTTCTCAGGCCCAAAAATGGAATGGTAGCGCCGTGGGGTCTTTGTAGCAGATAGAGAGAGAGGAGGTCTGGTCCCGGAGTGGCAAAGGCTTGCGTCGTACGCGCGCTAGCGCGCCCCAAGACGTCAGTCCTTTTTCCAGCTATAGGCCCACCAGGCAGCGCCAGGTTTGGATATGCAAGCTTCGAAGTGCTGCTGCTGCTGCTGCTGCTGCTCTGCGTTTGGAAGCTTCTTCCAGGCTACATCAACAGCTACTACTACTCCTCCTCCTCCTGCTGCTGCTGCTGGTGCTGCTCTGCGTTTGGAAGCTTCTTCCAGGCTACATCAACAGGCAACACTGCAACAGCTGTGTCTGTGTGGATAGCTTCCACAGCATACCTGTTGCAGAAGGAAGTTTCAGAGCTAGCTAGGCAAGAGTCGAGATATCTCGCTCATGCAGTCATGCAAAAGATAGCAATCATACACAGTCCTTACCAGAATCCTGTTTCTCCTCTAACCTGGACTGCAACCTTTTGGAGGAATCCGGGGACGAAAGGTACGAAGGTTCAGAACGAGTCACTGGTGCACGGTCAACATCATACACAAACTGCACAAATTTCCACCAGAACTGCAATTTTACCCAAAATAGCATACTCTAGCGGAGAGACAGACATAGAAGAATGAGGTTAAACTTGGAAAACCTGCAACCTGCAGCATTATCATGATCGAATGATCTCTCTTCAGATGACCAATTCAGTAAAGACACATCGATATAAAGGTCAATAGCAATTAAAATGTAACATACAGTACCACAGGAAATATTATAAGGTTGCAGGAAAAGCATAGTGATCTCAACAGTCAGAATTTGTTTAGAAAATGCAAATTAAACAAGTCAGAACACAGGAGAGTAAGCGAAGATGGGGAAACATTCCCAGTCTAAGCACAACTAACACAGAAAACAAAAGTAGCAACACTTTTAGGATACCAGTTATATGAGTGCCAGATGTGGCAAGTTATTCTAAGAGGGAAAAGGGTGATAATAGATTTGTTCAACTAAATTATATAAGTCATTGGAACCATATATTTCAATTAGAAAGAACCAGAGCCTCATAGACCAAAGCAGGAACCATTCAATGTTCATGTCCCTACTGCCAAATCTTTTTTTTTTCTAATCCTGAGAACATCATTTAACTCCTGAGACAAATAAATTGATGTTTTTTTTTTACAAAAATGAAGGGCGGGCCTGGTGCAAGCGGTAGAGTCTTACCGCCTGTGACCGGAAGGTCCCGGGTTCGAGTCGCGGTCTCCTCACATTGCACAGGCGAGGGTAAGGCTTGCCACTGACACCCTCCCCCCTGCACTAGGTACGCCCTGTTTTTTTTTACAAAAATGTGGTATATCATCACGATGAGATCTCATGATTCTCTAGTCAATGCAGACTCTGGTTTTCCAATTGTTTCCAAGAATATTGTGCTGGATCATGTATGACATCATATGATGATTACCAATGACCAAATGAAATCTTGTTGAGAAGCATTATTCTTACTTTGCCAAACACACAGCACAATATGAACATCCCAGCATTTTCTGAATCAATGCACAGTACAAGAACAAAGATGTTTTATACCTCAAAATGTGGAGTAGCACCCTGCATCTCCTGTATGTACAATTAGTAAAAGTAAAAGTTTCAAAACATCCTATTGCATTAAGGAATTTCTGGGAGTGTCACGAAAAAATGATGTGGATCTTGTTCTTGGTTTTCTTTGAATGGAAGTGCTCTGTTGCTAGCTTGGGCTCATCAGTTTACCGCGCAAACATGTAAAAAAAATCTTCAAGAAAGTTCAAATATGTTAAGATTTTTTGGAATAAAAGGCATAATCAGAAAAGTTAGCATGTAGCTTCCTATAACTTTCAACTGAATGTACAGATTAATTCAGTTGATATACTGGATAACATTTACTTTTATTTAGAAGGATTGTTTGCTGCTCAATTTTCAGTGGTGCTACTTATCAAATGGAGTACCAAACTACCAGTATTTGATGATTGAATAGCATTGTTTAATAACTTGATTTCTGGTACTGCACAGATATCCCCTTTTCTAAATTTGAGACCCACCAGAAAGACTTGCTGCAAATAAGTAATGCACAGATAGCAATGTAGTGAGCAATTTTTTTTTTCTTTTTGATAAACTAGCGAGCAATTGATTTAAGTGCACAGACAGTGAATCTCTTAGCGTCCTCAGTAAATCAGTAATGAATAAAGAAATTAGCTTCTAATGTCTGTGGAAACAGGGCATAATCTTCTCACCTCAATCTTTAGATATACATTATGTTAATTGATGATAGTGCCAAATGAAAGCAGTTACTGCAATTTCACAAACACGGGTAAGCACTCCTGCATACTGAATTCACCGTAGAACATTGCCGAAATTTTGGGGGTCCAACAGGTATACCCTGTTCATATAACACGTGCAAGCAGAAAACAAGACAATTCAAATAATGAACTCACAGAAGAAAGCTTTTATTTCATTCTACCTTTTTGATACTTCTACATTTTCCTCTTTCTCTCTCTCCCTCTTCTTTGTATTTTCACTTGACAAACACTCTAGTACATCAGTAAAGTGTACAACCTACAACTGTACTAGTTTATACCGTACTATATCCAAAGTGCACAATAATATCAAGTCTAATAACCACTGCAACCCACCCATGCTAATTCAACTACGGGCTGGAGGGTACTCGTACCGATACGCGAATCCGCTAGCGGCGACGAGGCAGGCCGCGAACCCGGCCCCAACGGCGGCGATTGCACCGATCCTCTCCCACTGGAGCATCGCGGCGACAGGTGGACGTGCCAGGAAAAAAGATCTGAAGAAGTGGATCGAAGCGTAAAAGAGCGCTGCGAAGAGTAGGACGATAACGACGGCGGCGGGCATGGGCAGGCGGAGGTTGCCTGCGGCGGCCGCGAACTGCTCGACGAACCACGATGCGGACGACAGCGCCGCGAGGATTAGGAATGCGACAAGCGCACGGTAGGATTGGGAAGGGCGTATCGAGGGGGCGGAAATGTTGGCGGCGGGTGGTGGTGGTGGCTGTGGTAAGTCGATGGGGGACGGGGAAGCAGTGGAGTAGGGTTGCTTGAGATCGTCCACCGATGCCATTGGGGAATCGAGGAATTCGGGGAGAAGAGAGTTGTGTTTGGATTCGATTGGATTCGTGCGAGATTGCAATGGACGCAGGGTGCCAATCGGGCAGCTAAAAGAAGACAAGCTTCGAACCCAAGGCCCAGGAATCGCAAATATGTCCTCCTGTTTGCTCGAAATCATAATTGCACCTTCCCTGTATCATGTCCTGCGGCTGCGGCTGCAGTGGAAGGCCCCGTTTAGATCATGAATTGAATTTATTTTAACAATCGCAATTTAGACATATACTAATTAAACTAATATAATTGTATATGGGTTATATTTGTATATTATTGTTGGCTATACGAGAGAGATAATTATGTGTTGTATTTCTATCGTAGAGGGGTGAGTTGAAGAGCATGTTATAAGTTGCAAAGTACTCCTACAATTATAGAATAATGATCTATATAATCGATTTCTATCTCCCATCCTATGAATTTTAGATAGGCTTATATGTGAATTTTAGAAAATGGTGGAACGTCAAATTCCAAACCAAAAAGAGTAATTTATTAAGTAGATTTTAATTCCTCCAAATGAAAGGATCCAAACGGTCCCTTAGAAATTTTCTTATATCAACAGTCAACCAGATCGAACTGCGAGTTTTTGCATTCAGATCCAAATAGCAGAAATTACTGTGGGACTTCTTCATTAAAATAGTTATAAAGAAAACAAAAACATTGAAAAAAAAAATTACAGTGGGCGTTTTGTGCTTCTTGATCTTTAAACGATTTTTAGTGACAAGTTTTGTTACACCATATCACCCAGAAAGTATGGAACTATTTAATGAAATAGAGTCACAATGCATATCTCATAGGTTACGAACTTACGATGCACATGACCCTGTTCGCTTAAACTTATCAGTCCGTCTTATTAGCCATGGTATAGTATTTTTCTCTCATGATAAAACAACATCAGCCGGCTTATCCATCAGCCTAATAGCCTGATAGAATGAAACACTCTACCCCTTAATTCCACTTTCAACACATACCATAGACTTAATATGAGTGTATAGTTAGTCTCATCCTAATAAAAAAACATATTTTCTCTCTTCATATATCTCTTGACGTGTCATCATTTTTTCTTCGGTGGCATCTCATTTAGACCTTTTTTTGGCAAAATGTTGAATATACTAAATCATGGTTTTCTTTGATCTCACCTTTTTTTAAACTAAAACTCGGCTAAAGAGGCTCTTAAGCCTTATTTGGATACATGTGTATCCACTTCAATCTACATGTGTGTTGGAGTGAATTAGAATGGAACTTAGTTTAATTCCACTTCAATCCACTTCAACACATGTGGATCAAGATAAATAAATGCGCATCCAAATAAAGCCTTAATGAGTTTAAAACCTCAGGTCAGAATGGTTTTAGAACCAAACACCTCGTCCCCTTCCACCCAAAAGAACGGTTGATTTATGTATGTACAAACACACTTTTATCTTGCCAAGGTTATTTCATATTCATTTGATTATAGCTAGTAAGTTGTTAGCTTGTTCGCGGATTCAAGAGATAACTGAATCAATATTTCCCCAAATGTAAGAAAGTTTTGCGGGCTCATGGTATTTCAGCCTCCGGGTGAGTAAGTGGACAACTAAAAGTTGGCCTTGCAAAGTCGGAAAAAGCAGCTCCCACTATCATGCCGCCGTCTAGGGCCCCTTTTCTTTTCATCTCCGGTGAATTTGCCGGTGCAAGAATAAGAGATCAATAGTTTCTAGATCTAATTTGCTTTGAGTTTAGCTCAAATAAATCTATCAACGAAATCAGATGATGTTTGGTCAGGATCTTGTTAGCTGCAATGACTTTGTTGATTGCCACGACGAGGTTACTGTTGCAGACGTCGATTTCATCGACGGGAGACCAATTTGTGACCATTATCTGCAAGGGAAGAGTGCTCCTCGGCACCCCCACGGGACAGTAACTCCATATCAACAATTCATTGTTAATAGTAGTGGGGAGAAAATTATAAAGGCTTGAAGGTGATGAATATGTAACCTATGATATACTCGACGATGCAACTGTCGATATTATTTTATCATTTCATATGCGCTTAAGACGGGTTCTGGAACGTTAGATCTTTCGACGCGTCCAATGTTTTGTGATTAATCGTTGGATTCAACGTAAGACTATACTTCGGTTCCAGTGTTCAATAAAAGTTCTGTTCTGAATTGACAAAAAAAAACATTAGAGAAGAAGATGACGAATAAATCTCGATAGAATATTATATTTTTTTATTTCAGTTTTTTCATGTGTATTAAATTAAGAATGTATTGTGCTGAATCTTAATATAATTCTTGGTTCCCTTCGGCATTGTAATTCTGCTGTTCGTCAAGTACCCGAACGCAAATGCAATTGGGGTGGCTTCATCGCAACGCTGCCTACGGCCCGACGCGGAATTCAAACCTTGCAAACCCAACCCAAATATGGCTACATGCACGCGAGTACGCACGGGCGCACGGCGCCTTTTCTCTTTAGCTAGCTAGTATGGGGCTCCACTGACTAACGGGACTGCCGAGTGCCGACTGCATCAGTTGGTCCCGCTACGGTGCCGTCTAGCATTGCAATTGAGGAGGTTTGTTCGCGCCACCGCCGTTGCCCGGGGAACGTGTCACGATCACGGTGTCTGCCACCTGTGGGTTGGACGACGTATTGGTATTGACGTCACTGGCCACTTGGCTTCGGACGCGGGACTCGACGGAAGCGAACCGCTGCAGCAATCTCAGACTCGCCCCTCTCCCCCGGCCACCGCCGCCGCCCCTGTCTTCTCCCACCGTTGGTTCCCTCTCTTCCCCTCGGGCGTCTCGCCGAAGGCGTTTTTAATAAGTTTTTTTTAGAAGACCGAGTCTTTAGGGTTACAGTCTCTTCGTACAAGTTTATTGGTATTAGGGATTTATCTTCTCATCCTCCTCTCTGGCGACAATGAGGTGTTAGGATGGAATCGTTTTCTCCATGGTGGTTCTATTGAAGATGAGGACCACAATAACGACGTCGACAACTTCATCGGCACGACGAATAGAGATTTTTCTTTTCGAACGACGACAAAGGCGGAGATGATGTCGCCGCCATGGAATAATTTTCTCCTGTCTTTTCTCCATTTTGTTGTGGTTAGATCTGGCCACGATGAAGACTAGGGAGAATAAGTTTCAGATCAGTCTTTTCTTCGGTGGCAAAAAGAAGATCCTCAACTCTGCCTGAAGGAATGTTGATCGTCGTTCGTTTGAAATGTGTTCTCAGGTCTTTTGTTGAGTGTTTGCCTGTGCGGTCATCCGTACGAAGAGTCATACAATTTTGGTTTTACGATTGGGAGCTATTCACGGCATGGGTACAACAAAACTGGCTTCGTTCGCTTCGCTGACAAGTCATGGCTGAAAGTACCGTTAGTTAATTTGTTGTGAGAGAAAAATGTTGTTTCAGCTAAAAAAAACAAGCTGAAAAGTACTGATTATAAGACAAGCGAACAGGACGACTGTTTGGCTGCAATTTTGCCGGCTGTGGCTGCTGCAGCAGTTAGGCATAAAATATTATAGCAAAAAGTTACCGACAGTCACAGCCGCAGCCGTGAAGACTGACAGTCGAACGAGCTGAATATAGATGAAAATCAATTTATGAATATATGTAGTATATTTCAGAGTGTTTGTAACGTGATGATGTATCCAGTTATTATTTAAAAGCTATTCAGTTAATGGTTTTTTTGGCTGATAAGCCGACTTATGTTGTTCCCCGTTCGCTTGGCTGAATTTGGCTTAAAAAACAAGCCAAAACACTATTCCGGCTGAATTGTTGTGAGAGAAAACACTGTTCCGGCTGAAAAAAGAAACCGAACAAGCCGGATTTTAAAACAAGTGAACAGGGTAAATATAATTCTTCTTTTCTAAAAAAGAAAAGACGAAAGCGAACCGAGCACGCGGCCGAGCGCACAGCGCAGGCGAGGCGAGGCCATTCAAACCGTTGTTTCCTTGGATTCATCTGACTTATCAGATTTTTTTTTGCGGGCAGATTTATCAGACTTAATTCGAGTTCATGTCATAGTAAATCTGGAAATCTGTTTACCCATATAATTTGGGGAGTGATTTATGAAGTTTCGAGATTTGAAAAGAAAAACGCTGAAAATTGCATGCCACTCAAAATATGCTTTATTAACATGGAAGCATCGCCAGAACCTTTGAATTGTACTACAAACCTTTTTGCCACAATTCAGGTTGCTAATTGACGATGGTGTCAAATGAAAGCATCCGCCCTATTCGTTTAGGCTTGACTTATAAGCCATGACTGAAAATGCTATTGGCTGGTTTGGTGTGAGAAAAAAATACTATTCGTTGGGTAATAAGTCATGACTTATAAGTCAAATACGACGAAGCGAACATGCTGGATCATTAAAATTTAAGTGCTCCACCACCAGACACTGCCTACGTATCATTGGGGTGTTTCGTTTAAAGAATCAACTATTCTAAATGATGCGATGCATCGTAAGCCAATTCCTCAAATTAAAAAAACTAAATACAAGAAGTGATATGACTGTTTATGCAGATCGAAGTGGCCAATATGACATCCGCTAAATCCTCCCAGAGTAGTTACGATATACCAGGTCATGAAGTTCAAAAGCATCTGGATTTTTATAGTACTTGATGACTATTGCCGCTTCAATTTCTTCTGGTGATATGGGATTTCTTTACAGACAAGGACGCCACACCATATATCAAAACACGAGCGAAACCAACGGCCATCTAAAATAGCACACGCAAAAAATAACAACCAAAGAAACCGTCTAGTTCAGCCTCAACACAGGCATCCAGTGGCACAGCACGGATTGCGGCACCCAGAACATCGACACCCTTCTGTACACTTCCTGCAGGACCAAACACACCCGCACGAGCACCCAGGGCAAGCCGGCTTCGGAACACTGCAGCATGACCTCCGGCAGCAGCTGCTGCCGTCTTCACCCTCACAGCACGACGACTGGCACTTGCAGCAGGACGGCGCCCCCTTGCAGCACGACGACTGGCACTTGAAGCACTGCTTGCAGGAGCAGCACCCGAACAGGTTGGAGCACTTGAAGGACTTGAAGCAACCGAAGCAACTGAAACAGCTTGAGCACGAGCAGCATTCCACGCAGCTGCAACATTGCGGGCTGAAACAGCCGCAGCTTGGCTTGCAGTTGCAGCAGTCGGTGGGGCATGAGCAGCATTGCTTGCAACTGCCGCTGGGGTTACAGCCGGAGCAGCGCGGGAGGCTGCAAGTGCAGCAGTTTGGACTGGACTGGAGTTTGCAGCACGAGAGGGTCTTGAAGCAACTGCAGCTCGGTTTCCACCATGAGCTGCAGTTCGGTTTGCAGCATGACGGATTGCAGCACGAGCTGCAGTTCGGTCTGCAGCACGAGTTGCAGTTTGGTTTACAGCATGATGGATTGCAGGTGCAGCACGAGCTACAGTTCGGGTTGCAACACGACAAATTGCAGCACGAGCTGCAGCTCGAACTACACGATGGGCAATCTGGCTTGCAGCATGATGTGTCACAACATGAACAGCTGTTCGGCCCAAAGCAGGGCTTGTGGCATGATTTGCAGCTGGGCTTGCAGCATGACAGATCTGGGCATGAGCAGCAGGAGCAATCCAAGCAGCATGGTCTTCTGCAGTTGGGCAAGCAATGGCAGGAGCAGCAGAACCATGACACGCATATGCACAATTTTGATCTGCATGGAGGGGAAAACAGTAATATCAGCATCTTCAAATTGCAGAAATTTAATATGAAAATGAACAAATATGCGTTGCATGGTACCAATGTGAGCAACACATCAAAACTATAATCTCATATGCATAGAAGAAAATATAATGGTATTAGATTTAGATCCCGGTAAAAATGTTATATGGTCTTACTTGAAAGCACATTAACAATGAATTAAGAAAATGAAAGTTATGTGCCAACAAGCACTATGCCACAAATTTCAGTAAGAGTAACCCCACAATGCAAATACCATGCAGACACCACTATTTCTGGGAAAAAAAATGACAGCCATTTTGCTTCAGTGTGACATAGTTTTAGTTAGGGGCCTTGCTAAGGTACTTCAATCACAGGCATTGGTTTCTGAAACCAGAAAAAGGAAAAAGAAGTCTCAGGAAAAGAATAATTCTCGTTTATCATTTACCAGGAGTATGTCTACATGTTATACAATATATTTGCTGGGCGTGAACAGACAGGTGCTAGTGGCGTACCAATTAACACGTGTTCCACACAATAAAAAAAAACTAACTAACGTTCCAACTAAGCACAATCATATATGTTACATCCAATAAATCATGCATTCAATAAAGATAAAAGAAAGATCTAAAACCAAAAAATTCCCTACTCATCCTATTTTAATTTACAAAATAAAAATAAAATAAATATATTTCACCTATTACCTAGACCTAGTTAAATGGATGACCCACAATTATTTATGACTACCATAGCAAAGTCCATTAGTTAAATAGAACATGTGCAAAAGAAATTCAGATTTGATAACAGAAAATGTGTAACCACATCTTTGGTTATGAAGAAAAAAAGGCAGAAGTGTCAACATGCTAAGAGATTAAAGGCTTATGACGCTTTTCACAGCAGCAACAAATAGGTTAGCTCTTCCTGTAAAAAGAAAGAAACCATGTCGCCTGTAGTAGTTGATGGTAAGTTGGTGACATGTAGGGCTGGTTACTTAGCAGAGAGGGACAAGGTCTACTAATCACCTGCTATGTAGGCAAAGCAACTATGATAGGTTCCATGCGGATTAAAAAACTCCAGTACCAAGAAAACGAGACTAAAGAGACTAAAACGTGTGTGTGTATGGTGGTGGTGGGGTCCTGGTATCAATTTTCCAAGAAAACCAGCAGATTTGCCACTTCCCAAATTTGCTCATTGAGATGCAAGAGTAATTAACTTGCATTGTCCAAGAAGAAATACAGGAGAAAATTTTACTGATTCATCTAATGTATAAATTTTTGAGGTGAAATATTATAAGATTTTGATGCACCAGCCATACAATCACTGACAAGAATAAGTAATGTAATGCTTACCTAATCCACCAAAAAAGACGGCAAGATCGGTGCGTCTTCTTCTTTCTGAAAAATCAAAGGAAGTCAATTCATAATAGCATTTGTAGATGCTTCAAAGTTATTATAACATCAAGTCTATAGGTCATACATCGGTAGTAGTGGGTCTTGTTTTGTACCAACAAACTCATTTACCCTGGAAGGTTTTAAATGAGAGAATGTTAGAGAAAATATAAACAGAACGTGCTTCAAACAGTGAAGAAAACTGTGCAACATAGCTGAAGTTTGGCCCCAAAAAAACCAGAGAATTATCATAATAGTGCACTATGAAACAATTCAGTAGGCAATGATTTAATAACCTTCCCAACTGCATATACATATGCACATTCCATTGGGAAAACAAATTTCAATACAAGTGATGAATTCAGAACGTGGAGAACTAAATACAGCATTAAGTAATTTTTGACTAACAATTATTAAGTTTGAGTATTTGACCAAATGTAGTAAACATGGTAACCAAAATATTATCTGTTAGGACTTGAGGCCTCCAGGAAGTAGGAAGAAAAATGCTGGAATGGATCACTAACTGAGCCACAAGCTAAAAGAAAGTGGACATTCAAAACCAAACCATGTACCAAACACTGTGATCTGTGTAGGGTTATTTGGTGAATACTTATAAGTACACAGAAACAATAGCCTCCATAGACTATACTGACACAGAATTGGGTTAAAGTACAATTAACCAATAACATTTTTTTGCGGCAAGATATAAGAAACAGAAAGGTGAAAAAATAGTGCAAAATAAAAAAATCAATGTCATTTGACGTGAAACCAGGATTTCATCCTAAACATGACATTTGCAACGGATGCCAAGGAAAGAGTAATATGCAACGCAGGAAGGGCAACAGTGCATACTCTTTACAACTTCTAGAAACTGGTGGAACTGCTTCAAGTGATTGTAGCTCGTCCTGCAAAATCAGATTGCTGTCAAATAAATGCACTTCTTACTCGGTATGCTACTCGTGAAAGTGGTTTACATTCAAAAAAAATTGTAAAAGTTGTACCAAGGAAGCATGGTTGCCAACTGTAAGCCTGATTGCCCATGAGAAATAAGTTGAAAGGAACACTAAACATTTGGAATTATGCATAGCTATGCATAATTATGCCTCAAACCAACAATATCGGATGCGTAGACTCGTTGTGTAGGACATTTTCAAAAGAGAATGAGGACAGTTTAACTAAAAATGTTCTGTGGGGAAAATAAATTATGTGGTGGCAAACACTGAAACAATCAAACCACTAGACAAACATCAGTTCACTAGCCGCTCCCAATGCTCCACCTTGGCAAGCCTGTTTGGGTGGCAGCGACAGGGTGCCATAAGCCCATAACTAAGCTTAGGCATATGCCAAATTTGTGGCACACCTAAATTGTGGCAGAATATAACCATTTGGTTGGTTAAACTTAGTCCCGCTGCCGCAAATTGGATCAGGCAACCGTTTGGATCAGCCACATGAGCTGCCAAAAGCTTGGCAAACTTCTCTGGCAACCGTTTGGTTTATGAGCATTGCTGAGCATAAGTAAAATAACCGTTCGCTTACCATCTCTTACATGCACACGTGCTCTGGCAAACATGTTTTCTTTTGTACAGAGAGGACCTAAATCCATCTCTCTTCGTTCCCTTCTCTCTGGTTCCCTTCTCTAATTCACCATCAGCAAAACACAAAGTAGCCAGATGAGCTGCCTTCTCTCATCCTCCCAGCCGCGTGACAGTCTCAACCCCATAGTTGGCATTCACTGACTGCCACCGGCAACTACCTCCAGTGCTTTGGACATCCTATATTAGGAGTGGACTGGGCATGTTTGGATGCTGTTGTCACCGCTCCTCGCCAAAGCAGTCCTAAGCTGCGGCGGACAAAAATGAACGAGCTGGTTGTGGCATCGCTGTGACGTGCCTAAGCTGCGGCGCTAATCAAACACCACAGCGGCATGCCGCACTTGCAGCACAACGAGCTGTTGCGTGGTGACTGCACGAACCAAACAGGGCCTACGTGAACCCGAGACATCCGACAGACCGATTTAAAAAGGTGGATTCTAGTCTCAAATACGATGAGAGAACTAATTGACTAATAATGAGACTCCTGCTTTGCTGAGCTTGGAAAGCAACCGGAGTCGCAAGAAGAGATAAAAAGAAGACCAAAGCACACTTGACCAGTAAAGAAGTGCTTTAATCAACTGGACAGCATCGCAAATCTGCTCCTTAATACCCTGTTCGCTAGGCTCATAAGCCATGGCTGCTGATTTATCGTGAGAGTTGGGCGAAAAAGTACGGCAAGCGAACAGGGCGTTAAAGCAGAGCACGGCGTCAAAAAGACACTCGTTTCCCTTGATTAAAAAAAGAACACAAAATCTAGTTCAGAGCATGGAAAGCCCCGAAACTGTGGCAGCCCAGCCCATAAACACCAGTAGTACATGTACGGTACGGTACGGCACGCCGTGCGCCGCACCACCTTTGCCTCTGCTGCACGAACCGTCATCATGATAGTGCCTGACGAGCCATGCCGTGTGCGTGTCCGCGAAGGGAGGAGCGGGTGGAGGGGGACACGCCCACCCGCTGCTCCACGCGCAAGCACTGACACGGGCAGCGCAGCGCGCCAGTGCCACTGGCCACTGCGGCACTGCCCATGCCATGCCCCCGTCCTCTCTTTTCTCCCAAGGAACCGAACCGCACGGCCCAAGAGGTACAGCCGCGGCACGCCCCAAGGGGGGGCAACTGGGCAAAGCCGCCGCCCTCCCCCCCTCCGCATTAGGCTCTCATCCCCAAACGAAGACAAAATAATGGCGTGGCGTGCTCCAACGATCAGATTTCGCACGAACCTGCCATTAAACTACTGCATCTCCCCCACAAGTTATTACAGTACTACTGCTAGTACTGGCCCCTTCTACACACTGCACTCGTTTCTTAGAAAACGAGATCGCGCGACGAATCGGATCCTACTGGTGCTGGTGGTGATTTTTTGAAAGTTTTTAATTGGGGCAAGTCAAAGGGGGTAGTCGAAGAGAGAGCGTGGCCACCGAACCGACCGAAGGGGGACGAGACAGAAAGGAACGGAACTGCCGGCGATGTATGCCTCACCTTGAGGAAGTCCATCTCGCGGTTGAGGATCTGCAGCTCCAGCTGCAGCCGCCGGCGGCCGCACAGGTCCGGGTACCTCGGCGGCGACTTGGGCCGTGGCGGCTCCAGCACCACCGCCACCTCCTCCCCCATGGACCGACCTCACATGTACTAGCAAGATAGGCCTAGGCGGCTAGCAGAGTAGAGTACCTCCCACACCCGCCTAACGAGTCCCGGCCGGTGTTGGGGACTAGACTAGAGAAGCGGAATGTTGAGGAGGGTGGCCGGTGGCTGGCTGGTGCCTGGTGGTGGTATAAATCGCGGCGATGAGATGAGCAGGGGACAGCGGGCTGAGGCGGTGGGGGATATCGCACGTACGAGGCGGGGAGTGGCGGACACGCTCGTGTCTGCGCGCGCGAACGGGAAGCAGAGGAGGAGGCGGGAGGACTGGATGAGAAAGCGAGGAGCAGGACGTCCCCATATACTGAGCGGGGGCGATGGGGGGGAGGGAGGGAGGGAGAGAGAGAGGTTGGCTGCGCGGACAATAATGGCAGAGAGGGGGGAGGCGTGGCCGTGGCGTGGGGTTGAGAGAGAGAAACGGGAGAGCAGGGGGAGAGTGGGGTTTAATGAGAGAGAGAGAGCGGGGCTGCGAGGTGGGCTCCAGCCTACAGGGCTCGGGGTTTAAGCTGGGGACGGACGCCGTGGGGGGACGACGGATCAGTAGGATAGGATCACGGACGGCGTTTTGGTCTTTTTGCCGTTGCCCCTGGAGCGTTCGTGCCTTCTCAGTTCTCACTTCTCGGCCTCGACGGGATGGGTCCGGTAGTTGGCGTGGAGTTTGGGAGGCTACCACCTCCCGCTCATGAGCTCAACAGTGCAAAACCAATAAACCATGATGCGGCTTGCGGCGTCGGTGAAATCATGCCGAGCGCCGACCGCGGCGAGGGTCTGTTTACGAACTCCCACTTTTCTCAGAGAGGATTTCTGAACTAAGACGGTCTCCGAGAAGAAACTTATATGGACACCTCAAGACACTAAGAGATCTAAAATTAATCTCTAACAGAGTATTTATATCGGGAGACATATTTTGGGTTGTCTGAGAGGCACAACCTAAATATGGGCATCATTTCTCTGAAAACCCATTTGTAAAAAGGATTCTCTTTTGGTCTCGTTGTTGGAGAAGATGCCGAATATGTATTGAACCTTTTGCCTATAGCGCTACCTAAAGGACGAATGTGTCTTGTATTTTGGGTGTTGTTGTTGGAGATAGCCTAAAATAGGCCTGGATGGGTCACTCGTATCATCCGGCAGAGAAGCAATGACCCTACCTGATGCAACAACCCAACGTACGTACTTGTATGAGATTGACGGCAGGTGGGCAGCTATGAGAATTGCCTAGCTTATTCCGAACTACTTTTCAGACACGGAATAGTGTTTTCTCTCACAACATTTCAGCATAAGCTAAATTTCAGCATCAGCGAATAGGGTATATCATTTCCTTTTCCGAAACGGGCACACATTATAATATCCAAAGTTTCATTACCTCTGGCAAATAGTTACTCCTTCGGTGCTTAAAAAAGGCCACAATTCTACCCACGAATCTAGAGGAACATTGTCGGTGTTTCGAGTTGCCACCGACTAGTAAATTTTTAATATTGCATGTCTGGCTCGGATGGTGTGCTAAGAGGACATGAGGTTTATACCGGTTCGGGCAGAATGTCCCTACATTCAGTTTGTTGCTGTTACTTATGTTACTAGCACTGAAAGTTCATAGTAGGGGTTACAAATGGTTGAGAGAGGGACAGTTCCCAAGTTTTTGGTGAGAGGAGCGAACGGGTGCCGAGAGCTCGATCGCTTCCCGGTTGTATGCTTATGTGTTCTAATCGGTTCGGGGTTCGATGGGTTCCAGTCCGAATCGATGCGATGTGTTGCGATGCCCCGTATGGGATGTCCTGCTTTTTCTTTTATAGGCCAAGGGAAAGCACGGCTTATAGTAGAGGGAAAAGAGGAGAATAAGAAGGAGAAGAAGTCCTTTAGGATCGCTGGGTCCTTCTTATCCTTCATGCGGGTCCCGCTGACCCGGTAGACGTCAACAGGGACAGCTCCATGTTGTGGCCCTGTCCGTCACTGGTGCCATGCGCAGACGTCGTCTCCCGGTCATGGCGCTCCACTCTATCCTGGCAGACATCGTGGTGAACTGACATGCCTGTCAGTACTCGTACGAGGGTTAGGCAGAACAGCACCGGTACGCCCAATGATGTTCCTGATGTGAATCCTCAAGTATGGCTTGTCACGGCCACGGGTTATATCGGGGCATGCCGGTCACCTCCCTGGTGTCAGAGCTTTGACCCAGGCCCATTCGCTTGGACCTATAGTGGTTGACGGTGGTATGGGTCTCCGTCGGGCGAGACGGATCCCCGGCCTTGGGGTTGGTCGAGGCGGAGTCCACCTAGAGGCCGGGCGAGGCGGAGCCAGCCCTCAGAGGTCGGGCGAGGCAGAGCCCGCAGCCTTGGTGTTGGGCGAGGCGGAGCCAGCCCTCAGAGGCCAGGCGAGACGGAGCCCGCGGCCTCGGTGTCGGGCGAGGCGAAGCGCAAACCCAACGGTCGGGCGAGGTGGAGCCCACCCCCAGAGGCCGGGCAAGGCGGAGCCAGCCCTCAGAGGTTGGGCGAGGCGAAGCCCGCGGCCTCGGTGTCGGGCGAGGCAGAGCCCGCCCCCAGAGGCCAGGCGAGGCAGAGCTTGCGCACCTGGGGGTCGGTTGGAGCTGTAGTCGCGCTCTTGACTACTCAGATGAATCAATGTTGATGGTTATTAGCTCCTCATCTTCAGGTACCCTAGCATTGATCCCCGATAGTAGCCTCTGAGCCTGCGGAGGAGTAGAATACTCCTTCGGAGGCTTTTCCGAATGGGAGGACTCTGAAGGCCCCGGCCTTCTTTTGTAACCCACGGCATGACCTGGGGGCAGTGAGTCCCTTTCCTCGAGCCCTTCCCGTAGCAGGGGCCCGATCGAGGATCGGTTCGTCTTTGCGATTGTCTTTCCTCAAAGCGTTTTTTTCGATAAAAACGGAGGGGCCGAGTCATGCCACGATTTTCCTCTAAGGAGGAATCATGGCACCCGGTGAGCTATTAATGGGCTAGTCTAAGTGGGGCCCCTAGCATCCCATTCGCGGGGACGGCTTGGGTCAGTTTGGTGACTGACCCTAGATTCTCAGCGGTCAATCCATATAGTTTTCGAGTCCGTTCGACCGGTCCTGAGGGCTAGGTACCTTTCTTCAAAAAACAACCATGGATCGTAACCGGCCGAGACTCGAACGTGGGCCGGGATGTCCACGGCGCTCGTGCGCCCGGGTACTGGCAGCTAACGGGCCCATCCCTTTCCACCTCTCACCCTGAATGTGCCTGGAGCTGTTGTTGAGCCCATCGATGGGTCGACCTGCAAACTCCTAGGCCTAGCCAGGCCGTAAAGGCGCTTTTAGATCCGTATTCCTCTTACTCATGATGAGTCGTGGCCCGTCTGGAGAGGTGAAACATCCGGTGAGTTTCCCGAGGGAACAGACAAAGATTGTGTGCGCATGTCCCACGGTGGGACGTTACGGTAGATCATGGCAGGCACGGAGATCTAGGCGGGCGGTTGGTTTCCTCGCATCTGTCGCCCCTTTAAAACTAAAGGGTTCGCCCCCCCGGATTCCATACCTTGCATCCTTGCCTCCGCAGCCACGACTGTCGTCGCTAATTGCTCAGATTTCCTATCTCCGCATCTCCGCTGCTGTCGAGCTCGCATCCACCCACCCCCATCTCTGCATCCCCGGTCTTCTCCACGCGTAGACCACGGCCGAGGAGTGGCTACTGCCCGGCGAGGAGGATGTGCCGTCGTCGCCTGATGGCTATGTGGTGTCGTTTGCCCACTTCCACGAGCTTGGGTTTGTGACCCCCGCCCACAGATTTCTTCGGGGGCTGCTGCACTACTACAGGATTGAAGTGCAGCATCTCAATCCCAATGGGATCTAGCACATGGCGACATTCGTCACCCTGTGTGAGGGGTTCCTGGGGATCAGCCCCCACTTCGATTTGTGGAGGTACTTCTTCGCCGTCACCCTCTAGAAGAAAAGGGAGAAGAGTGGCAGGCAGGAGCTGACATGCCAATAGGGTGCGTCAGCATCCAGCTCCGGAACAATCAGGTCGTCGAGTACCCGTCGATGTGGCTATCAACGTCCAACAAGGGGTGGCACTTGTAGTGGTTCTACCTCAAGAACGACATCACCGCCCCTCTATCGGAGTTCACCGGGCGCCTGATCGAAGAGGCCCCAGAGTCATGGACGAAGTGAGGCATCCCGGAGAAGAACAAGAAGAAGATTCGGGACCACATCGCCGCCACCCACATCCTCAAGGAGAACGGCTTGAAGGGGTTGGGCGTCATCGGGGCCTACCACGCAAGGAGGGTGGCGCCATTGATAATACGTGTGCTCCCGCTGTACTAGTGCCCCCCTCAATTTTGTCTACCCGCTGTCGAGACATCCTCTAATGCGGCCAAAACTAGGCCACATCGTCTTTGTAAGTTTACCTTTCTCATGCCTTCTCTTCAACAGATTTCTCGACCTCTTGATACTAACTTTGAGAGGGGTGAGACCAGCCGAGGGACCTCATCTTCTTGGATCACCCAGCACCGTTGTCGAGGGATTCGTCCATGAGGGTGGCGAATCACGCCGAGGGCGAGCAGCTGAGGAAGGCGATGGAGGACAAGAAGAGGAAGAGGCAGCGAAAGCTATAGGCCCGGGAACGGGGGGAGGACACCGACAGCGACGACGATGATGATGATGGCAACGATGATGAGGTAGCCGATGATGTCAAATCGGACATCCTGGAGAACGAGGATGCGTTGATAGGTATTGGTTTGTCCTTGTAGGAGTCGGGACCCTTCCTGTTCCATGAGGGTATGGGTATGCGGGGAGCTGGTGGAGGCAGGACGTACCGTCGGCCTCCCTTAGGAGTCAACGGGGGTGGGCGGCTCTGCTGCCGCGCCTGAGATGTCGGTGGAGGCGGGCGGCTCTACCGTCATGCAAGAAGAGTTAAGGGGAGCGAGCCCCTCTGCCCAGGAGCAGGGGCGGGCTCGAAGCGGCGTCGCCTCGATGAGGCGGAGCAGAGGTCGGGGGGTTCGC